GCAGACGATCGCAGAAGTGTGTTTCCATATGATCGCAGACGATCGCAGAACTTTTTGCGATCTGCGATCATATGGAAACCAGCCTTAAGTAAGCTCGTATTTTATTAGCATTACCACGTTGTTATGACACTGTATTCATAACGCCTTAGGGTCCTTTAGTGTACTATAATGGTGGTGTTCAAGACACCACTACACTAGCATGTAACCACTATGGCACTGATCTTTCAATGCAATGATGTGTGACCATCCGTGGGTGAAATTAGCTGCGAAAAGAACTGGATTTTTTTTTTGAGATTTTATTAGTTAACTTGACATTGATATTTACGGTTCAAAGTACGTAGTAATTAACTAGTGTATATTTATCTACTTGAAAGTTTGTAATTTTCGGCTAAATATTGACAATAATTTTACGTAAGGAGACGCTACGGATTAGTAAAAATATGCACACTAATAAGTTAACAAAGGCTAAGTAAAACGAGGTCTTGAACGCGTGCTATGTTGCTTTCAAACCAATACTTACAGAAGAGTGGGCTCGAAAGGCGTATGTCGAACTTTGCCACGTCTCAACACTTCACGGTACTTCACTTCGCCTCTCGGGCAAATATTTGTTTAAAGAACATCAAACTTCCGCGGGGCAACCATCAGCCGATAGTTCCTCGACAGGAACACTATTGTTTAAATAGAGATCAAGAGAGATACAGTAAGAACCTCATTTTTTTTTTAAATCTGGCAAAATAGGTTCTTGTATTTTGGGGTAGTTACTGGCAATTTAGGCTAAGTAGGTTCTCAATTTCTATGAAGGAGATATATGAGTTGATTACCAGAAAAATAAATAAACTTGGGTTTCAAACTATTTGGTCCTTGAATATACAGTATCAGTTCACAACTGTATTATGTATGCTCTTGACAGGTAAATTTGCAATCTCAAAGTCACACTCCTAGGTTAAAATGTTTATCATAATTCAACTGTAACCCACAACAGATTCTTATATTTGTGGGTATTAAAATGGCAAAGTTCTGCCAGCAGGTTCGGAAACCACTAAGTTCTTAGATGCAGGTTTCACTGTATATGTAATAAAATGTCAGTAACAGTGAAGTGTGAGTAATGTATTGTCTTGTAAGTATTTCACCAGGATGTAATGTATTAAAAGTAATGTAAGGGGTGTAACCCCAGGGTGTAATCTTAATTCATGTAAGTAGTGATCATAAGTAAGGTATAGTTATTACATGTAACGCACCTCAACTCAAACAATGTTGTATTGTAATGAATTAAACTTAAGTTTAATAAAAAAAGAGTCAATAATCTATTGCGTTACTTGAATTCTAACTAAATTGATCTCAAATACTAATTTTCCAATATTATTCCTCTACATTCTAAATAGTACTAAACCCCGCGCTTTAGCGGAAAATCTTTCAGACTGAATTGCAGCTAGCTGCGTACTCAGTTTATTCAACAATTTTAAAATTTAAATCTCATAACAATGAAAGTCCTTTTTTCATTGAATTATTCCATTATTTTTCTAAATCTTTGCCTGAAACTTTGGAGAAACAAGAATGTCACCATTTTATTGACCACCTCAAGTCACTGTACACTATTGGCTGATAGTGTGCAAAGGATCAAGCAATAAGATTGCAGCATTTGCATAAATACTAGTAGAGTAGCCCATTTTACAGTTCCTTGCCTCATGTCCAAGGCTTTGAACAGAAGGAAGGTTATAGTTAACTTTGTTATGATGCAAATCTTTCATTTTTCTTTGTATATTATTCTGAACTACTATCATCACAAGGTCAACCCCAGCTTCACTTTCATTCAGAGGCTCAGTGTTGTCGCAAACGCTTTTGAAACACAGACATCGAAGGCTGTTGAGAACTAGAAATTTAGTCAAACCAAAATGAAGCCAACAAAGCGAAGCACTAAAAGGCAAATGTGATGGCACGACAGACGAAAAGAAAATGCAACGGCTAACTTTGTCAAACAAACGGCCAGCAACTCAGCCACCAAAACATTGCTGAACTGTACTAAATTCAGATGGAAAGTATATAATTATCTACAACAGGGCTGTCGTTAAGTTTTGAGTCACCTGTAGCCTGTAACAAAAACTTGTTACTTTGTGGGTGAATTCTATCAACAACAGGCAATTTCACCTGCAGCAGCATCAAGGGAAAATCAAGCATACTCAGCCCTAATGGCAGCCCTGTACAATATGCAAAATAAAAACGAACAAGTAAAACAAAAGGCACAATACAAACAACATTAATTACAAGAAACAAAAACAATATCTATTTATTTCAACAATTTGCCAGAGGCAGGTGAGACACAAAAGAACATTTTGTCCTCTACAAGGCGTGTCACCCTTTCAGCCCACAAATGGAAAAAAATTGTAAAAATATGTGCAAGAGAAAAAGGAACAGTTTTTGCACTTACACTCGCTTTTGTTGAATTTCACAAATGATTAATATGATTTTCCAAACTAGTTTTTTGTTACAATTTGAAGAGCGTGAAAAAAAAGTTTCCCACAAAGTTTTAACCTCAGTCAACACAATTTTGAGTGTGTTTACGTTGAAATGATACTGGATATAGCAACTGTAGTTCATAGCTTGCTAATAGCCTTTAATGTCGCCAAGGAAACAGGGTTTGTCATCCAGCTACCACCATCAACTATCAAGGTATTGGATGTGATGAAAGCTGATGCACCACTGGCAAGAAAGAGCGTAGCATCTGCCACATCTCGTCGAGTCCCCAGTCTTTGTAAAGGGGTATTCTGAACATAGTTCGGTGGAATTTGTTTACCGCCTGTGAAGGTAACAAGAGTAACAATAAGAAATTATTACTCTTTTTGAAGGCTTTGGTTCTTTGAAGTTGGTTGTGAGAGAAGATAAGTTTTGAGGTAAAAAAATGACAGTGAGGAGGATACGTGTGAGGTTCAAGCCCCACCCCATCCCCCCCCCCCAAAAAAAATTGTGTTTGATATTTGACTCCTCAAAAATTATTTTTATACTGACATTGCATTGAAATATGTATCTTTAAACTTACCACCCCTTCCTAGAGAAAATCCATTTAGACATGGTTCACCCTACTCCCCCTCCCCTGCCCTCAAATAATAACACTTGCCCCCCCCCCCAAA